TTTTAATTCGTTCCATATGGTGGGGGGTATTCAAAGTTCGGCCCGGCCGAACTTACTGCTTTTTTACTTGTTTTGTATAATAAGTTTTGTTGTATTTTAGTTTTATACCTATTTCCGAAACTTTAAATTGTAGTTATTTACGAATTATTTGCTACCATTCTCTTAGGAAGAGCATTTAGTGTGGTTGCTAGGGAGACTTCTAACGCATGCTTTCCATATTTATTTTCAATCTTCGGTATTGCGAAACGTCTTTCTAGTCTTCTTCTGGTTGATATTTAGTAAGTGCTGGTTGTATGTATGTTGGTGTTGTGTGCGATTCGACCTTGTAAATATAACTTTTATAAAATGTGAAATAAGAGTCCGGTTGTCTTAAAATTTCAGAAAAAGATATCGTTCGAAGATGGAATATATCAGTATACATCTTCTAGTACCTATCCCACAACAGGTCAAAAGGTTTTTCTATACGTCTAACTACCGTAGTTAAATAGCATTGTTGAATTATGTTAATTACATTCTGGCTGAAGTTAGTAGCACAGTTAGCAGCAATCTCTTTTATGTCGGAAAATAAAAACACAATATCAACGTTATGGAGGTATAGGAGGTTCATTAAATGATTGATATCTGCGAATTTTGTCTATACGTTTTGCATTTCCACTGCAACTTTGCCTTGGCCTAATCACTGTGTTGGACCATAAAATCAATCAATAAAGGTTTCGAGTTGCGATTTCTGGGTCTATAGCTTTTTTGAATTTTTCCTAAAAAAAAAAACAATTCAGAAATGAATAAAAAAATTTAGTTGTGATTATTTACACGATTCCTTTCCTTTGCGTTGACGCACGATTTTGACATATGCTTTGGATTACAGAGTTCGAAAGGTTAGAGACGACAAAAGATACGAAGAATCAATAGACAGTATGAATCGCAATACTGAGTAACCCCTCGGAATATTGTGAGGGTTGTTGATGTGGATAGTTGGTTAGTAAGCAGATTTGTAAGTAGTTACGACTGCCAAATACTTGTTATAAAATCCATTGCTTGGTAACAGTTTCTCTTGGGCCGAGAACCTAATGCATAAAATTACTACTTAATTTGACTGGAAGGTGTAACCTTATAATGGACTCATGGTGAACACAGCCTTTGGTATCGTTCATTACTATATATATTTCATCTCTTATCTCGAACAAGTAGTAATAGTGTATCACATCTTTTTTTTCCTTTTTTGCAATCAACTTGCAGTTCGCCTAGGAATAATGCGATAATATCGCATAGAACTTGGTCCAATGCATTTTTTTTACGTAAAATCTTGACCCTTATTTTTTCTACACCCTCAGAACTCAAAATTCAATGTTGTGGATTCTTATTTGAACTGATTTTTATAACCCACAATTTTAACTTTTAATTAAAATATCAAAGTTGTTGCATGCAATTTAATTTTGTATTATTTGTTAAAAAACAGCAACGTGAATTGAAACCCTTTCAGCAACGCTTTCGGAAAAATGCTTGTTCGTGCTTTAAAGTTAGAGACCGCGAACAATAAATGTGTATGTATGTACACATATAATGGGCGAACATTCACACCCAGTCGCCCAACCTTGCATTCAGCTCACACCAATTAATATGTCTGTGAGTGTGTAAGTGTGTGCGTGCGTATGTGTGTGTTTGTGTTGTACATCACTTAATGAAATAACGAAAAAATCACATTTAATGCTCCCTCTTAACATGCCGGCCAAATGCTATATGCCAAGTCCGAAAGGGCGAAGAACTTGTTGGTCCAAAAACCGTGATGATGATGATGGCAGTTCCATGGCAACAGGTGGATTGGTAGTAATACAAGGGACCGATTCTGTATTTCAATGGAGTGCGGCTACGCTGAATATTCTGTTTTAATTGGCTTTTCTCATGGAATGCAAACTGGGTCTTTCGGAAGCGAGAATACGTCACGTTTTAGATTCATTTTCGTTGGTGGCATTCATGGCCAGTTCGGGAAGTGTACGCAATGAAAGAGAAACTTTCTTTAATTCTTTCCTTTACAATTCCATATATATATATATATATATATATATATATATATATATATATATATATATATATATATATATATATATATATATAGCACGTTTGGACAATAGCGACTACTCCTCACATTTGTCTGTACTGAACTTATGAGGCGGTAACAAAACAAGTAGAACGATTTATAACATGGATTCATGGACTGTATCGGAAACTTCCGTTAATCTATATGTGGAATATGTATAAGCTTCCTTCTGTGATTTTTAAACACTTCTCAGACATCAAAAAACCATAAGTTGAGTGGGTCCGATATATGGGTGCCATAGCAAAACGGGTACCTATATAGATAACTTTATACTACAAGGATTCAGTACAAATTGCTGTGCCAAAAATTTGAAGCTATACGTCAAATAATGTCGGCTGCATCGTGATTTTAACGGACAGACAGACAGACGGACATCGTTAAATCGACTGAGAATTTTATGCTGATCATGAATATATAAACTTCATGGGGTCTACGTTGAATATTTAGGGATGTTGCAAACGGAATTACAAAGCTAATATATCCTCCATTTCAAGGCGGAGGGTATAAAAACGCCAAACTATGAAGGGTTTATAACCTTTGTCATTCCGTTTGTATTTCCTAGAAATAGTTATGTCAAAGTATATATATTCTTGATCAGCGTAAAACTCGAATTCTTTAAAATTCCGTTCGTAATAAGTAGTACAGTCTATAACAAAAAATCGAATATGCAGGTCCACGTCTTCGTGTAGCCCCATAAAACGATGGCTCACTATATCCGGCATTTTGATGATTTTAGCAGCATCATTCACCGAAATTGTTCGTATTTAAAGTTCGTACTGGGTACTACGCCTATGACGGAAAATTGTCTATGCAAGTCCAGATTTTCGTATAGCCCCCATATTACGGTACCTCCCGATATTCGGTATTTTTATGATTTGTGCAACATCATTCACTGGAAATGTAACCTATGACAAACATTCCACGTCTTCGTATAGCCCCTCCATAAACCGGTAGCTCCCGATATTCGGTATTTTCATTTCAGCAACATTATTCACGGGAACTAATTTAAATTTCGCATTTGATATATATCTAAATATATAAAATCTACATTTTTGGGAGGAACCTCCGATTCTGATGCTTCATCTCCACTTCCAAGTGGAATTCCAAAAGCTTATATAGCCTATGGCACATTTAGGCAATGTTTTGTGCAGTGGTTTTCAAATCCATAAATTACAAACAAACATACAAACATTTTCCTATTTAAAAAAATAGATATAGAAAAGAGAAGTGTTATTTGGAACTAACAGAAAATCTTAAGTCTGGCATTTGCGACGAAATTAAGTTATTTTGAGAATAGACCACAAACATGGTAAAAGTTTCGGTGAAATTCCGTAAAAAAAAATCTAGCAATCAGTTCACATTTTATTTGAAAATCTTTACCGTTTATAGGGGAGGTATAAGCAGTATCGAACCGATGTCTTCCATTTTCGCCCATACACAACATTTGTCATTTTAAAATACAACATCTGTAGTTCCAAGACACAATCAAAAAGGACGTTGAAGTTCGATGGAAATATATTGTCAAATATATTATTGAAGTAAGCAACAATTTCAATAAGAATTCGGAGAAATGAAAATATGAGGAAGGAACAACCAACCCATCAAAAATGTCAGCATTAAATGGTCAATTTTTATGATTTCTTCTACCACAAAATTGTGGATGTTTACAAAAGCTTCAGCCCCAGATAGAAGACTTTTTCAAGACCCCAACTCGTGAAATTTAAACAAAATTGAGACATCTTTGAACATCAAGTGCTGGATTCATAAATATTTTGGGGTCTCAAATCGTGGATTTTGACATAGTTTCTCGGATTTTAAAGAACATTGCCGAGTCCAAATTAAATGAAAATACTTATATCAGTGTCTTCAAGGATTCAAGTCAGAGGAATTTAAGGAAAATCATACAATCCATAAATAAAGACGATACATTCGCCTATTAAATTTTCCAAATTTACCGGAGAACAAAATTATTGGAGCTTAATTTTGGGCTTAAATTATTGAAAAGAAAATAAGTTGCATTATTATTCTTTTTTTATAAATATTCTTAAAACGAGTAAAAAAGACGTATACCATTAGCCTATGTCCACTTATTTATATATATTAGACTTAGTATAGTGAATGTTGACCGGTAGTCCCAGATCTTATTTAGGTGGAAGTACTCCGTTGCGACTTAGTATAGTGAATGTTGACCGGTAGTCCCAGATCTTATTTAGGTGGAAGTATTCCGTTGCGCCAAGATAAAAGAAACATCAATTAGTAATCTTGCGTTTTCATTATCAGAAGGAGTTGACCGTTTTTGTCCACTTTCTCATCTAACTTAAAGCTGATTCAATTTTTAGGATATGTAAAGTTTGAACGAAATCAGATGCACCATAAGGTCCAAATTATTTGCCTTGAACGTGTTGATCGAATACTCCTTCGAGAGTTATCGTGCGTACAGACAGACTGTAGGGCGGACATTGCTAGACGGTCTCCAAATGTCAAACGGATTACGTCCAAGGAGACCTAGGATTCAAAACCATTATTCCAATGCCATTTGGCTGAGAGTATAAGGAATTCTTGATTTATTTATTGTTTCCGTTCGAAGTTTAAATTTCTGTTATGTATCTGTAAGGCGAATTCAAATTACAACAATTTTTTTGACGTATCAAATTGATACCAGCTGGCGTGAAAAGGTTACCTTGTAATTCTACCATGATTGCATGACTTTATCTTGTGAGAAAGTGGGTACTTTTGAACGCAACGCATGGTAGAACAATACAGGTAACAGCAAGTGTTGTTGTTCAACAAACGTAACGACAACAAGACACAAATTGGTTTTTGTACGTAATACAAGTGTCAAAAACAAAACAAATAATTTTCAATAATTTACATTTTTGAATTTTGGATCACTAAATTGAAAATACAAAAGATTAGTTCTTAAAATATTTAATTGTATTCCCCTGAATGTATCTTTGTTAGATGTAGGTCCAAATCTCTCAACACTTCAAGCAATCGCCAGAACATCGTGAAAAAGAAACAACTACATCCCTATCGAATTGAAACCAAACTGCATATATATTCATAGAGTATTCCACATTTTTCAATTTTAGGAAACCTGTAATATATGACTATATTACCTAATGTGGTGTGGGAAGATTTTAGAAGATTTAGACCTGACGTATTTTGCTAATACGGACGCACAAAACAATTTACCACAGTGGGGAAGTTGAATATTTGTATGCGTTACGTTGCATTTCAGTTAAGGCTGTCAAATAATATCTGTATTTGAATTGGTAGTACGGTCCATTTAATTTAATGTTTGAAGATTATTTCATGCAAATGTTGACTGCACCTGCGCTTCAAATGGTCCATCCGCTTAGTCCTACTTTTCGGCCGCTATCTCACGAATGTTGTCTTCCAGTGATCCAATGGAAGCAGGCTCATCTGTATAGACACGAGGCTTAACACAGCCCCACAAAAAGTAGTCTAAATACGTTAAATTGCGTGATGTAGGCAGTCTGTGCCGAACGTGAAATTAAATGAACTTACCTCTCCATAAGTGCATTGTCACCAGTGATGTGTTGAAACAACATTTTATGCAAGTCAAGCTCTTGCACTTTGGGCATAAAAAGTTGAATATTGCCTCATGGTAGCGCTCACCATTCACAGTTACTTTGCGATTCGCAGCATCTTTGAGGAAGGACGGTCCAATGATGCCACCAGTCTGAATGCATTGATAGGATTTGTAATTTGAACAACGTGATTGAAAGTGCAATGAGAACAACAGAACTGAGTTGAACTTTTCCTTCACTGAATTTAATGACAGTTTATAACAAAAAAAAAAAAAAAAAAAGCGGAGCGGTAAAAAATGGCGTGAAAATTATAAAACATATGTTCGTCCATAAATATCATTTCTGCAGATATACGTCCATATCTAAAGAAGAATTACAAAATATCATTTCTACAATTAAGGGACATTAATACACGTGATTACATTTATGATTCGGCAATGCACACTAAATATCCAACCAGTGTACACGTTTCGACAAAATAAAGCAACAAAATAAAATATTTTTGTGTAACAAGGCGGAGTTACGTTATCTTTTCCGTTTTCGTTAAACTCTCAACTTTTATTCGAAGACGTTTGTTTTTTTTTTTTTTTGTCATGAAAAGCAATAACTCAAAATATTTGGCAAAGAGGCTCCTTTGTTTATTAAATTGTACTGTGTAGTTTTTAAATTGATTCCTTCCTTAGTTAGAATACCAACATGAAAGGTCTATTGGCCTTGGAAGCAGAGCACAGATTTGCAATACCAGCTTGCGAGCGGGATTGCTCGTTAAGTGGGAGTTTTTTACGGAGTCCATTTTTCACTCTTTTGTTTTGTGTAGGTGCGCTCACGGGTCACTCATGCAACCTCGACAAGAGCAAAATCTGCTCGTTTTTGAATGAATTTTGATCCCACTCTGAAATGAGCAAAACGTGCTCTCTCCTATTCGAGGGACAATGCAAAATTGAGTTTGCTCGCTTTGTTTCAGAAAGGCTCCCGCACCACTTCGAGTAAAGAGTGTGACTCGCTCGTTTTTCGGTGGTCTGCTTGGGAGAAAATTTAATTTATCCACATTATCAACTGCTAATTGTTAAATGACAAACATTTAAATACATTCTCAGCGGATAGTAATTTTCTTTCATGGGCCGTAAGTCATACATTATGACATCAATAACAGCTTTAATTGTTAAACAAATTACACCATTTATTTGAAATATCTCAGAGTGTAAACACACACGCGCACACACACCATCATATATTTGTAAAGTGAAAGAATATAGAAAAAAAGCGGAAGAAGAAGAAACGAAATGATGCTCTCTATTAAGTAGTGTTCTCACAGAACCTGCCTGGCGCCAATTAACACTGATGGCTTCTATATTCCACCGTATGACTGGCTGTGATATATTTGTTCCGATGACAAATTCTATATTTCTGAGTGTTGTTGTGGACAAACGACAATTTCTTTTCTTTTATCAATTGGCCTTTTCGCTGAGAAGGTCATTCCACCAAAAAAATGTATATATATATAAATATAGAAAGAAATATATTCCAAAAGTATATGCCAAAAAAACTGAAAACTGAAAACACAAAAATGCCGATGGACGACTAAAAATACACAAACAATTAAGAAATGAAAGAGTAAAAAAAAAAATAAATAAAACACAATGACAACAAAACAAAACATTTTTCTAAAAATAATCGTTGTTTGTGTCTATATGACTGTGTGTGTGTATTTGTGTGTGATTCAACTTGATTAGTCTAATAATGATTGAGTGGCAATAGAAATGTCTGCACAAGTGGATGAAAATGTTTCAAATATGATTGCAACAATTGTAAATTATTTAATAGAGAAAAGCTTGTTACTCTTTCAAGTAAATAAAATATAATAACAATTTAAGTATTGCGAATTAAATATTCAAAAAAAGTTCAATAGAATTACTTGCGCCTTATGGGAGTCCTCTATTGTTAAATGATTTCTCAATTATTGAAATGATGGTCTATGCTAAGAGCATTATTGATCATTAAATTAATACGCGTTTTGATTGATTAGCCATTTCTAACTGGCGAAATTATCGGTAATGTTCCGTCTCGTAGAACTTTAAAATTTTAACCGTTAAAATTGCCCTTCACCAGAACCAATTTTTAAATCCTTATGTTAAATTTATGATAGTTTATGTAAAAGAGTAATTAGTCCCCCGGATTCTATAAAAATTAAATCGGCATATATAATTGCATCTATATCTATAAAAGAGGAAAATGTTTGTTTGTAATTTATAGACTTAAAAACCGTTGAACATATTTTCCTGAAAATTTCAAGATATGTTATAGCCACACAGGCTATATAATTTTTTGAAATTCAACTTGGAACTGGAGATAAGGCATCAGAATTGGAGGTAACTCCAAAAATTTTAGAATTTATGCGCATATCTATTGATCAGTCTTTAAATTAGGAATGTGTAACAGAATTTGGTACAAAAAAACAACAGCAGTGACCGAAAAATGGCTCGTGAGCCATTGGCTGAACATATCGCAATATTCCATTCGGCAAATATTGAAAAATGAGCACGGGGTAAAGCCATTGAAATTCCAAAAAGTGCAAAAGAAAGAAAATAGACTCAAAAGAGCTAAAGAGTTGCTTCGCTTGGCCGAATGTGGTGAACTGTCAAATTTGGTTTTCTCCGATGATAAAACATTCGTTGTCCAGCAGTTTGTAAACAAACAAAGTTATCATGTTTACTTGCCAAAGAGGTCAGCTGAAAATGTGCACCTTCGGTTGGCCACCAGAACTCAAGCGCGGGCCATGTGTGTGATGGTGTGGGCCGCCATAATAGCCGATGGTCGCTCTCCGCTCGTATTAATCGGCCGTGGCATCAGAATAAATGCCGAATATTATCGCATAAATATTCTGGAGATTGTATTAAAGCAAACATTTTGGCCACAGACTTTGGACATTTCAACAGGACTCAGCACGCGCCACCTAAAAATGATTACAAAATGAGGTTCCTCGCTTCATTTCCAGCCCACAATGGCCACCAAAATCTCCGGATATCAATCCGTTGGACTATTGTGTCTGGAGTATTTTGGAAAGCACGGTTGGCACTAAAAAATATTCAAGTGTCGATCACCTCAAGCAAGCGCTTCGCTGGGAATGTGCCAAAATACCGCAGAGCAACATTCTGGCAGCGTGCGACGGTTTCATTGGCCGTTTGAAGTAAATAATTCGTGCCAAAGGTGACCAATTCGAACAAATCTAAACTTCGGAATGAGAAACGGAATTTTTGTACAAAAATGATTTTGCCAAATTATATTGAAATCGGTTGAGGTTTGTATATAGCTTCCATATAAATTTTCAGCCGATTTCATGCATTTGATGCATTAAACACGCCACATCTGTGCGCCACATCTCAATAAAATTTGGAAATCGCAATGGAATTTGTCAGTTTTGCAAATTATATTTAAATCGGTTCAGATTTGAATATAGCTCCCATACATATTTTCGATCGATTTCGTTTATTTGATACAGCAAACACCATATGTGTGTTCGATTCCAATGAAATTTGGAATGTTTGACGGATTTTGATCAGAAAATAAATTTTTCAAATTATTTGGATATAGCTCCCATATATGTTTTCGGCCGATTTCACATATTTGATGCACAAAACACGATATGTATGGTCAATTCCAAAGAAATTCAGACATAGAGACGAAATCTGGTACCAAAAAAAAAAAAAAACAAGTTAAAAAGCAGTAAGTTCGGCCGGGCCAAAATTTGAATACCCTCCAATATTTGGAACGAATTTAAAAATTTAAAAAAATAAAATCCTTAAAAAATTATGTTAAATGTTAAAAATACCGAATATTGCCGTTATATTGGGGTCTATACGACGTGGACCTACATAGGCATTGTTTGCCATTAGCCATTACCATATTCAAATTCGAAACTTGAAATAAACGGTGAATAATGTAGCTAAAATCATCAAAATGTCGTATATATGGAGGTACCATTATTTCGGAGCTGTGGGAAGACCTGGACCAGCATAGACAATTTTTGGTCACAGGCTATAGCAACCATTACTAACGTCAAACACGATATCTCAAACAATTTCGGTGGGTATTGTACCTAAACTCGTCAAAATACCGAATATAGGGAGGTACTGATATATGGGCCCTATACGAAGACCTGGACCTTAATAGGAATTTTTCTGTCACAGACTGTAGTTCCCATTACGAACTCTAAATACGTAATTTGAAACAATTCCGGTGAATAATGGCGCTAAAATCATCAAAATACAGAATATAGGGAGGTACCGTTATATGGGGGCTATACGAAGACGTGGACCTTCACAGACAATTTTCTGTCATAGGCTGTAGCATCCATTACGAATCTCAAATACCAAATTTGAAACAATTCCGGTGAATAATGTCGCTAAAATCATCAAAATACCGAATATCGGGAGGTACCGTTATATGGGTGCTATGAAAACGTGGACCTACATGGACCATTAACGAAATATATATATGGTAGCCATATTCAAACCTCAACAGATTTCAATATGGCATTTTTTATGCCCTCCACCATATTATGGAGGGTATATTAACTTTGTTATTCCGTTTGTAACTCCTCGAAATACTCATGTCAGACCCATCAAAGTATATATATTCTTGATCAGCGTAAAATTCTAAGACGATTTAGCCATATCCGTCAGTCTGTCCATGTATTTTTGTAAACAAGGTACAGTTCGCATTTCCAGATTAAATTTTGCACAAATCATTTGTTTGGCCCAAGGACGAACCCTATTGATAATCGGTTAAAATATAGATATAGCTCCCATATATATTTTCGTCCGACTTGTTTTTTATTGTGCACCAAACATGTAATATCAGACCGAATAGTATGAAATTTTGCACATACAACCAAATTAGGCCGATTTACGTTTTATTGTGCACCAAACGTCTAATATTTGTCCAAATGGGATGGAATTTGGCACTTACGACCGAATTGAGTAAAGAATTGGTAAAGATCGGTTCAGATATAGGTATAGCTCCCATATATACTGTTCATCCGATTTGTTATATTTGTTACCTACAGCCGTAATATGCACTCCGTAACAACGATATTCAGGGAAATATATCGAATACAGCTCTGAAATATCTTTGCCAAATTTTATTGAAATCGGTTTCAAATTAATTGTGCACCAAATGGGCAATACAAGTTCGCATTAAAAAGATACAAATGCTTTGGCAGATATAGTCCTTTGAACTTTTTTGGCGTGTATTTTGAATTCTCCCATTAAAACGTTTAATTGTTATGCGGAGCTCTACTAAATTAGCAAAGTGGTGTAGGGTATCATAAAGTTTTTGAATTTGTTTTATTTTTTTAAGCCAATATATATTCGTTTATTATATGTTGAATACATATAAAATGAAAGGGGTTGCGAAGCGCACCGGGTTCAGCTAGTTTGTATATACAATTTTGAATTCATACAAACTTAAAAGGGGTAGCTCAGGGCCCCGGTTAATTAAAGCCAATGATCGTTTTTTTATGTAAAAGCTTGTGTTCCTTAAAATTTGCGATTGCTTGTCAAATATTATATTTTGTATGTTGTTTTAATTCCTAATTGAATGGCATTGCTTATTTCGAGGGAGTGGGAGATTTGCTTCGGAAAGCGACAACGTCAATAACACCCCAGAGTTTTATTTGATGAGCGAAGGTGATAGATGACGAGTTGAGGGTGATATGCGCATGTGGTGTGATATTAAAAGTTTGAGATAATTACAGAAAAAAATAAATTGGGGTGCCGACAAAGGCCGTGTTTTTTCGCTTTCGATTCTTGATCAATTGAACGCAAAGGTTCTAAGTGATCGCAGAGATTCCTTTGTTTCTTTTTTTATTAAAACTACAACTACTTCCAGTGAGAGCAAAGCAACAAAACGTCGCCGCCCGTTAGCCTCTGTCCTTAACGGTCTCCACCGAGCGAAGTTGCCGAGGAGATGCCAGTGGTCACATCCGTGATTGACTGGGGTGGTTGTGGTGGAACGTATCAAACATATTGTATCT